TTTAGATTTTATTGGACTGCTGTGTCATACAGAACGCACTGGGTCGAGTCTGACCTTTGGCTTTAGACATATATCTCCTGATCGTATGTAAGAAATATTGACTAAATTCAAAACAAGACATTCTTAACGATTTCACTGTTGTATTGTTATATCATTCATTCCAGTCGAAGAATTACCAAATTTCGCAAATTAAAAGACGAGAAAGCAAACCGACTACAAGAATGCCGAAGAAGTTGATACGAGAAAAATTTAAAGTGTAATAGGTGAAAGGCTTATAAGAATGAAAAATTAATTAACCGGTCCGATATAATGGAATAAGCTGTCAACTCCATGACTGACTACACTATAAGTATTTGTAAGTCAACGGACTACAGAGTCTAGCTGTGACCTGTTCCAGCTAAACTGTCGAACTCTCTGCCTCTGAGCAGAGAGGAACCCGGAGGAGGCTCCGCCGAAGGGCAGAGTCTCGTTCGGGGAGGTAGACTGACCCTGAACCCGTTTATGCGGGTTCAAAAAAGGAATATTTTGGGGCGAGACTACGGGCTCAGAGAACTCACATTAAACTGGCATTGTGCTACATGCAACCCTCGTGGGGTTGGTAGCTAAATATACTAGCTGCGACCTGTTCTAACTAAACAGTCGAACTCTCTAAATTCGGGCAGAGAGGAACCAGGACGAGGCTCCGCCGAAGGGCAGAGTCTCGTTCGGGGAGGTAAACTCCCCCGAGAGAGAACCCACGTTAAACTGGCCTTGTAACGCATTCAACCCTCGTTGGGGGTAGCTAAATATTCTAGCTGCGACCTCTTCCAGCTAAACAGTCGAACTCTCTGTCTTTGAGCAGAGAGGAACCCGGACGAGGCTCCGCCGAAGGGCAGTGTCTCGTCCGGGAAGGTAGACAGACCCTGAACCCGTTTATACGGGTTCAAAAAGGGAATATTTTTGGCCAAGCCTACGGGCTCGGATAACCCACGTTAAAACGACCTTGTGTCATATGCAACCCTCGTGGTTGCATGTGGGATTTACTAGCTGGGATTTGTTACTCAGCTCTTAGCTGTTGTTGAACTCTTCCTTCGAGGAACCCGGACGAGGCTATGCCGAAGGAGAGAGTCTCGTCTGGGGAGGAAGACAGACCCGAACCCGTTGGCTTTGTGCTACATCCTAGCTCATGAGGAGGCTGGTAAATATTGTCTAGCTGTGGTCCGTTGAGCACGACTCAGACTTCCGCAAGAACTACCGATCTTCCAATAGTAGCACTCATTACTGGATTGACTTGCAAAGACCTTGTGCATAACTGTTACCTTTTATTATTATTATACTGAGTTTTAAAATAAACGTTTACTTATTTTATCCGCCTTGTTTGTCAAGTATATATTCATATTAGCACGGAATATAACAGACATAAAAAATTTTTGAGGTTACTAAATGTACGAAGAGACATAATATAGAGACAAATAATAAAAATAACCACGAAATATCACCTTTAAATAAACATCAGAGAGAGAAATTTGTAAGCTTACTGAAGTACGTGAAAAATGATTTTCGACTCTGTATTTTAATAAGGAATTTTGAGTTACATTGGAGGGACCTGATGACTGGTCTAGCGGGCGGTTCTTTCATGGAAATAGTCAACTAATACGTCTTATAAAACGAAATCAGTAAGTAGGAGCAACATTGTACGCTGTAAAATTCTACGTTTCAACGTTGATAATGTTATCAGTTTAAATGCACATAATTATTATCTATTCTTGGGCAAGTCATTTTTAGTGATATACAAGCGGCAAGCAAGAAACCTGAGGCGAAAAATAAAACATATTTATTCAAGTTGGTGCTATTTCCATTCTGTCAAGCAGACTATGGCCACTTTGCGAAATAAACTATCCAAAGACGCCAAATTAACAGAATAAATCCCAGACTATCCAGATATTAATCCAATAGAAAACTTGTATTTTATCATTAAAAGAGATCTACAGGGTGATTGAAAAGTAACTCCCCATTTTCAAATATTTAAATGTATTTGTTTATCAACTATAATCTTTAAAAGAAATTGACATAAGAGTAAAGCATTTAGCATGAGGTTTTATTCAAAATTAAATATAGGCACCGGATTTCGCTACCAGCTTCGCGAACCACCCAAGAATCGCGTCAACTGATTTTACCAGGAACTGTTGTGATATGGAAGATATAACATTTTGTATTCGCCCTTCAAGTTCTACCAAACTCTTAGTTTGGCATAATAGACTTATTCCTTTAATCAACCCCAAAGAGAAAAGCCTCAGGGGGGTTAAGTCAAGACTCCTGACTGGCAACTCATATATAAAATGTGGAGTTACTTTTCAATTAATATATAAGACTAAAAAGAAGAAATTATCTCGAAAGATATTGTTGCGACAAAAATAAGATAAAGAGAAGCAAAGTAAACACAAGAAGACGAACTAAGTTTTTTATTGTAAACAATAGAAAGGTTTTATCGTAATTTTTAGTGATTTGGTCAGTAGCTAAAATTGAAAAGAAAAAACACGAAATCTTACCGGCAAGAAGTTAGAAAAACTTCAAAATAACTTCAGTCAGGTGTTGCTGAGTTTTGTTGTGCAGTTTACGCGTCAGGTTAGCGAAGGGGAGTAAGCGGTGCGCACTGGAACATATTTCGGTAACAAGTGACTTTAACGGCCAACTCGCTTAATTTTGGCGCCAACCAACGACTACGAATACCCGGACGAATGACCACCACTTGTAAGGTCATCCGACTACATCAAATAACCCAGAACTCGTTTTATTCATAAAAAATTGATTTTTTTTTAATACTATTAAGACGGTTACAAGTTGAAATATTTGAAAAGTTAATAAAAAACAATGATCGGAAGATTGATGAAGTTTATTGAATATCTAGGATCACATATTAACAGGTAACAAAAATAGAGCAATTCAACTATATGGGATATAGATTTTTTTTTATTATTATTACAATCGTGTTTACGGTGTACAAGGCCCGGGTCCGCTCGAGGTAGGGGATTACAGTGAAAGAAGCACGGTTTATGTGGATATATGTGCAAGATAACAGTTAACCGTAGACGAACAGGTTAAGATTGTAGTGATCAGGGAAGCATCCTCTTTGGATTCCGTTCCACAAGGCAGGGTGTCGAAGGAAGAAGCTGCTCTAGTGGAACTTTAATCTCACAAAAGAAACACAAAGGAAATGAGGGTGGTAAGTTTCAATGGGCGTGGCATTGAGGGTCTTAGCCGTGAAAGTTAGAACTGGTGGAACCAAAGAAGGTAGTTCTGAAAAAATTCCATGGAAATAGCGATAGGGCAGTGAGAGGCTTGTGATGTTTTCTTTTTGAGAAAAGTGTTCTAGGGTGGAAAAGAATCCTTCGTATAATCTATCTGTCATAATGGTTTTTCTGCTCGTAACATCTCACTAAACTGACCTTGTTCCAGATTTTTTGTTACGGTGGTTCTTACAGCACAAAGCCAGGAGCCTCTCAAGGTAGGGGATTATAGACTAAGAGGCAAGCTTATGCGGATGTTTGTGAAAGATATCGGTTAACTGTAGACTTGAATAGGTTAAGATTGTGAGGATTGAGGGAGCATATTCTTGGGAGTCAGTTCAACAAGGCAATGGTTCGTAAGAAGAAGCTGCCCGAGGGAAACTTACATTTCATCAAAGTAATACGCTACATTACGTGGGATTGCGGGTTTTAACCTTAAATGTTAGGACTGGCGAAACCAAAGAACATAGTTCGTCTGAACACTTTCCATGGAAATAGCGTTAGAGCAGCGGGGGGCCTGCGATGTTTCGTCTAGGAGAAAGGGGTTGTAGAGTGGAAGATAATTCATCACTTAATCGGGTGCAGAGGTACTTCTGGGCCCTAAAGTGAATACTGGACAGCTCTTGCTTATATATGACAGTAGTAACCCATTTTCGCCCTCATCTTGCTATTGGTAAGGTAGACGATAACAGTACGAGTCAGGTACTTGCTGATGAGGTACAGAGAACCGACTATTTTCCCCGGCATATATAGCAATGGATCGTATGTTACGAGTTCTATTTGAAGTCTAAATCTTAATAGGCGCTCAAGAGACAGGGCCTCGCCAAGGAAGCATCCGCTCATCGCGATTTGTGAAAGTTCTGGGTCCGATCGGCAACATTATAGGCTTTGTATTTCTTTAGAAATAAGAATGCTGCACTTATTTTGTTTGGATAAGAAATCTTTCCATGCCGACAAAAAAAAAGAAAGTATTTTTGCTGCCGCCACACGAATGGGTTTTAAATTTAGGCATATCCAACTTCTAGACTGACTTCAAACCAAAGTTATGGAGGCTAGTCTACCCGACTAATAAACCCACGATGAAATGAGAGAATATGGGTTCATAGTTTTTCTAAGGTATTTTTATTTGTCTGGTTTGGTTTGGTTTGGTTTGGTTTATGGCATATCAACCGCAATGGATTAATTAATGCTGACAAGAATTTTATTGCTGCTAATATTTTGTTTTGAAAAATGTATTTCTGGTAATATTTTTTTTTCAAAAATGTATTGCAGGTAAAAAATTTTTTCCAAAAATGTATTGCTGGTATTAATACATATTTTTTCTACTTTTATAGTGTTTTGTGCCTTTGGGTGGTTAACTAGTAGCTGAGACCTTGATAGGTGCTACCAGCCCGGATCAGGGTAGACCTAGGATCACCAGCAATTAAGAGGTGGTTCCACGCCCCTCAACATCTTCTGAACAGTCTTACCCAAGACGCGGATGTAGTTTGTTGTGATCTCATCTGAAATTTGAACTACAATTTCGCGCTGAAAGCTGCTATACTACACAAGCACACACATTTTCTCCACTCTCTCTCTATATCTATCTATCTATCTCTCTCTCTCTCTCTCTCTCACACACACACACACACACACACACACACACGTATATATATGATACAAATATATTTTGGAAACTATATTTTGTATTGTGCAAATCAATATTCAACTTTCTGAACATTAGTGTGAAAGGTTTACGGCCAAGTCACGTTGAAACACCAGTTCCCGTACGTTCACCGGAGTTAAGCAACGTCGAACTTCGTCACTACCTAGATGGGTGATCGCTTGGGAATACCGAGAGCTTTAAGTTTGAAAGTACTGATGAGGTAATGGATAATGCCTCGGTATTGTTAATCGGAGAGCTGAGTTCAAATTCCAGTTGGGTTCGATATATTCACTTGGAAAATGTATGAATCCACTTCTTCTCCCCTCATCTATGGGTTAATTAGTAAGACAGGTATCACTAAATCAGTGATATCTAAAAAATCACAAAATCTAAAAAAAGTGCTAGCTTTAACTCTAGAACACCTACCATGGGTATATAGTACCAGCGTAAATTTTCCTATTTTTAATTACAATTTTCAGTACCTGATTTTCTTACCTAAATAATATGTTCTTTCCAGTTCCTATTAATGTTAACTCAAAGTAAAAAGTTTGAAGTGCCGGCATGTAAAATATTTCAAGTAAAGATTTATATTTAATATTTTTTTGATATTTTCAAAATCGGGTATGATATACCCATGGGTAGTAGTGGTGTAACTTTAATTGATGGTTAATGTTCTAGGGTTAAGGAAACTGCAAACGGTTGATATGCTGTGGAAAACGAATAAATAAATTTAATGCGAAAATTGCAAATTTCTGTTACAAGACGGGCCATATTTATTTACCAGTATTAGGTCAGTCTGACACAAGGTTACATGTCACGCTTGGTAGATTTTCTGGTTAATGTTGTCAAATATGCTTTAATCCTAATCCCAGATATGTAGAAGAGATCTAATCTCCAAACAATGATTTACTGGAATAGATGTATGTCACCACCATTTCTTTTGCAGAGGATTGCATAATTTCAATGCACTGTTGATATCGATCAGAATGCTGACATAATTTCTTTCGTTATTGACGAAATGAATCCTTAAACTGCAACCTTGAACTTGAGATTGGCGTTGTGAGTCACAGAGTGTCGGACTTAAAAGCCGTACGTGTCTGAAAGAATGAATGTAGAATTTAGAGTTTGATTAAATCAGTTTAACAAGCGAAACAAACGAATCGAAGAAGAAAAAAAACATGGAGGCCAGAAATGTGTGCAGGTTAAAATCAATAAATAGGCTGACGGCATTCGTTTTGATATTTGGTTCGCAAGATCCGGAAAATATAGCAAAATATTTAATACTACCTAAAGTGTCCATATATATATATATATATATATATATATATATATATATATATATATATATATATTTAAAGAGATAAAAAAAAAAAGATTACTAGAAGTAAACTTATATTTTAAAATAAAATTTTATTCTTTTAATGTACTTTCTATGAATATTTTTCTAATTGACTATTTCATAGAAAATCCCCAAAATTAAAAAAAAAATTTAAATCACTAACAAACATCAAATTAAATTCTTTGTAGACAGTTTAGAGCAGGGGTTTTCAAACGTTTTGACTTTCGGACCCCTTTATATTTCATGCTTTACCTTAGGGACCCCCTTATAAACGCTCATGAAATGTATACAGAAGTATTTGCATATAACATATAATTTTGCATTAATGCAAACGCCTAACAGCCAATGAGAAAGCCGGAAATCGCAAAATAGATCCAAAATTCAAATCCTTTGGTTCCTTCTCTGCATGAATAGAATCCATTATCTTTATTAATTTAAAATACAAATTATATTAGTATATCAAATCTAAGAAATAGTTTATTAAATCAATTTATTTCATGATCGGCCTATAAGTTACTTATAAGCGCTTATAAGTTGCACGTCACCCATAAAAAAAAGTCTTTGCTGTCCATGGACCCCCTATATTGTCATTGCGGAATCCCCTGTGAGCCGCGGACCACAGTTTGAAAGCCCCTGGTTTAGAGACATTCAAATTTATATCAAACATTATAATCTTTATGAACCCCCAAAATAACACTTTCAAATTAAAACAAAATAACAGCGTCTGTTTCTAGCCTTTTTTTACAAAGAAAATTAGTGACATCTTCTCTCTTAACTTCCTTCTCTCTTTTTCTCTCTATGATTTTTTCTTCTCTACCCCTTCGATATCAATATATAACTTCCGTTAAGTTAAACGTTTAAATGTGTCAATATCTGCTAACTCACTCATGTCTTCTCTCTCCCCCCTCACTTCCTCACTTCGTTAATTTACATATGTTTAATACGGCCCGTCAAAAATGTGTAAATTTTCTTTTCATTTTTTGTTTGGAAGTAAAGTCTGATGATCCGCAGTCCTTGAAAAGGGCCGTGATGAAATAATTTATTACATGGAACCTTAAAGTGGTCTGCTTTTATTTAAATTATTTGCTCTGGATTTACATTGAGCTCTCTGGATTTTATCCTCCTTGGGTTCACCCATACGGATTACCTAGTTTTTCATAAACTAAATATATATATATATATATATATATATATATATATATATATATATATATATATATATATAGAGAGAGAGAGAGAGAGAGAGAGAGAAAGTAAAGGTAATAAATCCGTTAGTTATATGATCCAAGTGGATCATAGTAATATAAAATATTAAAACTGATCCACAAAAGAGCTCAATGCATTTATTATTAGAGAGCAAATAATTATATATATATATATATATATATATATATATATATATATATATATATATATATATATATACCGAGTATGAAAAAGACTGATGAATTTCGTCAGTTGAAGTTAGCTTAATCCCCACATTAGGTGATTTTTGGATTTGATTGTGTAATACATACATACATACATACATACATACACACACACACACACATATATATATATATATATATATATATATATATATATATATATATATATATTGTAAAAGCAACTTTGTCCATTTGTTAGATCAAGCTTTGAACCGTTGTATCTTGGAAATGATGAAAGACATTAATTCTCCGGGGTTTTTATAACACTGTTGGACTCTGCTGTGAGCAATAAGAATGTCTACATGCTGAATAGAAGAATCGTATTGAAATCGATCATAAACGAAAATGACATGTTCATCATTAATTAATCATAGCTAAGAATCGGAAGCTCATGAAATATTGAAATAAAGCTCAAATATATAAATATATATCATTCCAAGATCATTTTCCAAATTATTCAAGATGATCTTCGCCCTCTCTAAACTTCTAATTTTCTGTCATGGAGTAACAAGGTGTCTCACACGTTTCCCGTACGATTTCATTTTCAACTTCTTTTCACTGCTCTTTGGATTATCGTAACTGAAACTTCTCTCTCACATGCAAGACGTCATGTGGATTGTGTTGGAACTTTTCAAATTGACATATTTAGCTCTAAGTTGAAATGATGATCCCAATTCTTGCTGTGACATCCTGGTCCAGTTTTTCTTTCTACTGTTCCTTTATTGTAAATTTATTCATCGTTCTCTTGATGGTTCTTGATTGGACTTTGAAGATGGAAGCCAGATTATGAATGCAGGTCTCATTACTGAAAACCTGAATGATCTTTTTCCTCTTACCATTGCTCAATTTGAAAGACAGAATGGGGCAGATATAAAATGATTTTAGCCTGTTCCCTTTCTAGCTGGATAACTCGAAGTCTATTTCAGTGATGCGGAAAACCGAAAAAAAGAAATTCAATTAGTTTACTGTTTATATATATATATATATATATATATATATATATATATATATATATATATATATATATATGTGTGTGTGTGTGTGTGTGTGTGTGTGTGTGTGTGTGTGTGTTAAACATTTTGTGGAATGGACAATTATACTGTTACACGATTTGGAAAATTTTGCTGTCACACCCGGTATATATTGGGTTGGCGAATAATTATCAGGCGTTTTTAAACAATATTTATTATGAAAAAAGAAACAATTCAACAATAACATTTTTAAATGATTATTCTGGCGCGTATGACACGCATTTTTATAACCTGAAAAAAAAAATATTTTTATTTAAAAAAAAGTAAACAAAACAGCAATTTTTATTAACAAATACCTCGCCTACAAAAACGCCTGATAATTATGCACCAACACAATATATTCAAAGAATGAATGAAATCTTTGTTGCAAAAAGAGTTCATGTTTTTTTACAATTTTAAAGGCTGTTCCTATAGTGAAAAGAATAACCGCTGAAAGGAAAATCCGCGGGTCGAATTCAAATTCCGACATCGCCTTTTTCCTTCACTTTCGCACAAATATCATTGATAAATAAAAGTGTTGATACGTATTTTTTGCCCGCATTATGATATTTTGGTGTGGAAAAGACAGTAACTAAATACCCAAATTCAACCACCGTTGCAAGAAATTCGTTGATACCATCCCCATCTTCATATTTAGCTGATTATGTCTTTAGTGCCGTAAATGATTTATTATTGAAGAAAAGAAATCAACTGGATATCATTTAACGAGAAGACTTGTGGACAAAATAATTGTAACAGCTTCAAAATCCACTCCTATATTTCAAAGGCCTATTATATAAGGATAAAACTTCATAATTGCAGGTTATATCTGTTGTAAATACGTTTATTTATCTAATTTACTGTCTTTGTCTTATTTATTTTTAGAATTTTTAAAATTTAAGCTAAATGCGTGACCACTCCGAGTTCGAAAAAGAGAAAATTGTTGGAGCTCGCATGGCAGGAGCCTCGATCACTAAGGTTGCTGAACTGTTTGGTTTTTCAAGAGCTGCCATATCAAGAATACTGATGCAATTCGAGAAACAGGGCAAGACTAGCAACGGTAGCAATTCGGGCCGGACTTGCAAAATGACTGACAGGGACTGACGTCTATTGAAACGCAATGTGGCAAAAATCATCAGACAAATGCGGCCAAAGTGACTGCTGAGTTGAATAACCATCTGAATAGTTCAGTTTCTACTAAAACTGTTCATCGTGAGCTCCATAAGGCTGCATGTCATGGAAGAGCCGCTGTGAGGAAACCTCTTCTCTCCACTCGCAACATTGAAAAGAGGTTGAAGTAGTTCAGAGATCACAATGCCTGGTCTGCAGACCCAATAGAAGCAAATCATATTCTCAAAAAAGCCCACTTTTTCTCTTTTCCTAACTTCAGGGCGAGTTTATGTGTGGAGGCAGCCCAA